TGGCTTAGATAACCTTGTTCTAGAGAAGGATCTTTTGAGTAAGAAAAAGTGATAAGACTTAGGTGAGTTAAGTTCGTCTTTTCTTTTTTCCTTCTCTTTTTTTCTGGCACTGGCTGTACTCAGGGCCTTGCTTGCTTGTCTTGCTTGCTCAGCCTGTATTCTACCATTCCAGCTACACCTCCAGCCCTGCTATTTTGCTGGTTATTTAGGAATTTTCTGCCTGGGCTGGCTTAAAACTGTGATTCTGTGTATCTCACCCTCCTGAGTAGTAGGATTATAGGGATGAGCCACTGGTACTTGGTGAGTCCATTGAATTCTTGTCTGTTTTATGCTAACATTTTTTTTTGTTCAGTTAGATGTTATTTTTCTTGGTCTAATTTGAAGGAACACAAAGACCTGTACATGTTATATAATTCATGAATTGAAGTAGAATCGTCACATGTGGTCAGCAGGAAAATTCAGTGCCACTTTCAAGTATCTCAAAATGTACTGTTTTATTTCACGTAAAATGTTTTTTTTTATAAACTATACTCAACTGTGGGTTTCCATTACATTGTCATTTAGTAGAAGAAAGTGAATTTCATTATGACAGTGGATTGGAGTGATTTTCTAGACACTGGTTCCTGTTGTCATAAGTCGTTTGCTTTGTGATAACATGGTACTCCAGCTTAGCCATTACTGTTCAAAAGAATTACCACTGGGAGTAACCAGGCCTGCAAGCAGCAGGGAGCCAGAGTTTATAGGCTGCACGTCCTATAAAGTCAACCATCCCTGGATTAAGCTCTTTTTATTTCTCTATGTTTTACATATTATAATCAGTATTTCAATTCAGGATTTGGGCTCGGTGGCAGCTTTCCATAGGGCACACATTTCAAAGCCAACAAATTAATGAGTATTGTCTTCAGTCACTAGTTCCCTATGCAATAGGACAGCATATTTCTACTAGTAGCTGCATTAATATTTAATTCAGAAGAGGCTCTGAGTGGGGAAGTACTGCTCAAACCTACAGAGGATAAAGGGCAGGGGTAAAGGGAAAGGATGTAGTGTGTGACACTGTACTTAGGTGACAAGATTTGTAACTCCATTATTCTGCCCAAGAACAAGCATGTTATGGGGAGAACACATTCAGATCTAGATCTTTAAATTCTCTGCAAAGACACAAGTTGCTATTCTACAAGACTAACAAAAGATGGTAACTATAAGCAATGAGATAGAAAAGACATTGTAAATGTGTTGGAAGATGTCAATCTTACTCCAACCTATCTTGGCCCAAAATACTGAGAAAGGTTATGAAAGTAAGCCAATTATGTCAGACAGTAGTATTTAATTCTGTGAAGAATTGTTGTTTACTGGGTTAGTGTCATACCATTCCTACCAAATGGAAATTAAATATCATGTTAAAAGCCATGATTTTTTTTTTAATTTTGGAAGGGAGGGAAAAGAAACAGGAGAACATCAACTATTTGCGGTATCTGAGTATGGAATCTTTAGAAGGATATCCTAGGGGACATGAATATCAAAATATGAGAAGGGTTAGGGAACAGGAACGAGAATGAGAATTTGTTTGTCAGGACGGAGTTTTAAACTCAACACCTCTTACTAACTAGACAGATACTCTACCACTTGAACCACAAGCCTAGCTCTCCAAGTTTTTTCTTTTTATAATAATCTTATTTTCAAAAATCAGTATAAATATACCACCTATTTAAGAAATTAATAAGTTAAATAGGGTGATAAAAAATCAAATAACTAATTATATAGACAAGATTAGGGATTAGGCAGTATTATTTACCATAGCTAAAATATGGAACCAACCCAGATGCCCCTCAGTAGATGAATGGATCAAGAAAATGTGATACACACACACACACACACACGAACACACACAATGGAATTCTATGCCTCCATGAGAAAGGATTGACACTGCTCCATTTGTTAGAAAATGGAAAAACTTCGAAAAAATTATATTAAGTGAAGTAAGCCAGGCCCAAAGAAACATAAGTCCCATGGTTTCCCTTATCTGCAATAACTAGCATATGTCTAGGACAAGCAGAAAAGGTCAAAAGCTATGTACACATGACCATATAAGATGATGCTAAGCAAAATGAACCCCAAAATAGGGACACAAGAGGTTTTCTCTTTCTTGCTGTTGTTTTTATAATGTACTTATAATGTACTATGTGATTTTTTTTGTCTTGTATGTTCTTCCCCCATGGTATAACCCCTGTTTTCACTGTATTTGATTCCAGTGCCTGTATCTTGTATATACATTTGTCTAATTTGGGGAGGGGAAGGGAAATAACAAAATGCTGAAATGAGGATACAGGCTGATCCATTGTAAAAATGAGATATACAAGACACTATGTTGAAAATGAACTTTACAACTTTGGTGGGGGGAGAGGAGGGAGTTGGGGGGGTGGGGAGGTAAGGGATGGTAGGAGAAAAACAAAGGAGGGGGTAACAATGCTCGATAGGAAATGTACTCATTACCTTACTCATGTAACTGTAACCCCTCTGTACAGTATCTTTACAATAAAAAATATATATTAAAAAAAGATTAGGGATTAGGATGAGTATCAACCTAACCATGGAAATAAGCTGAAGTATACATATGATTATAAACACATTTGTTAAATGTTAATAGTGGCTGAAACTGGATAGTGTTTATTATCATTTTGGTAGGATTAAAATATTTCCCTACTTCAAACATAATTTGTAAGAAATCCATATTCCATTAAAATATGCCAAAACCAAGGGGTAAACATTTTTGTAAAAATATAGGCCATGAAGGGTGACAATGTCCAAATGAAGTACATGTATTACCTGACTTATGTAACTATAATTCCTTTGTACATCACCTTATAATAACAATTTAAAAATGGAGGCCATCTATAGCAATCTTTATTAACTGCTTACTTGTTCATTTTACTATCTAGTACAAAATCCATATTTACAGAAAACTCTTTTTTTTTTTTTCTTGGTACTTGAAATCTGGGCCGGGGTGTTGTCCCTGGGTTCCTTTTGGTCAAGGCTAGCACTCTACCACTTGAGCCATAATGCCACTTTCAGGTTTTTCTGTTAACTGGAGGTAAGAGTCTCATAGACCTTCTTGCCCAAGCTGGCTTTGAACCATGATCCTCCAATCTTGGCCTCCTGAGTACCTACGATTATAGGTGTGAGCCACCAGTGCCTGACTACTTATTTTGTTGAAATGTGCAGATATTCATGAAATATTGCATGGTATTCAGTTGGCAATAATATTATTAAGAAAAGCAGATTTTTGCTCTCAAGTTCATCTTCCTAAATCCTGGAAAGTTAATGCCAAAGTGTGGTAACATTGCCCTTTAAAAAGTCTTTAATAATAATTGTCTTCTATTTGTCAAATACTTTCTTCCTCTCATACTGTCAATTAAATCCATATTATGATGTTGTTTATGTTGATTAGATTGAAAAATGCTTAGGAGTTTGGTAAAGCACACCTCTGTGTGTATCTGTGAAGGCATTTCTAGAAAAGAAGGGTTCTGACCTAATCAATGGTTTAATCCATTGATGGGTTAAAAATCTGAGTAGACAATTGAGAGGTTGTAGAACTGTGGAAATTGGGGCTTAGCTGGAGGAAGTGGGTCACTGAAGGTGTTCCTTTGATTGGTATGTCTTGGCTCTTGCTCTTTCCTGTTATTTCTCTTTGCTTTTTGGCAGCCATGAGGTGAGCAGCTTTCCTCTGCCATGCCCTTCCTCATGTTTCTGCCTTGCCACAAGCCTAAGAGCAGTGGAGCCAGCCAACCAGACACTAAAACTTCGGAAAGTAAGAGCCAAAGTAAATCTTTCCTCCTCTGAATTGTCTCTTTCAGGTATCTGTCACTATGACATAAAGTCTGCCTAAAAGACATATTAAGCTCAGACTGAGTTGAGTCATGTTCTAGTTAACTGAGTCCCACAAGGTGGTTTTGGCCAGTTTCTCTTCTGTAAGAAATCCATATGACCGGAGCAGAATGTCAGTCACCAGCACAGGGATGCTCTGATGTTTGGTTCAGAATTACAAAGGTATTTTGAATTCTTGGTAAATTAAACTAAAAGGAAACCATTGGTATGATGGGGAGCAAAGGCTCTGATCAAGCTGAATTCCCTCAGTTTTTTTGGATCACAGAGCACCACATATGTCTCACCCATGGCTCTGGATTCTCTTTGAGGAGACCTTCAATGAGGAATTTTTAGGTCTGATGAACTTAGTGAGGACTTAGAAAAAGTCTCCTCCCAAATTTCACAAGTTAGCATACTAAACCATTTATTCAACATTGTTGTTGTCTGTACTGGTCACCATTTCAAGAATGGTCAGAAACCACAAAATATCCTTTACATATCCATTCTCCAATCCTGACAATAACCCAGCAAAACTGTTGCTTCTGTTGCACTTGATAAACACAAACAACTAAGGTTTAGGAGGTTTACATATTGGCCATTTATGATAGAATCAGAATTCAAATTCATATCTATCTTATTCAGAAAGTCATTTTTCCTACCATTAAATGACTTTTAGCACAATTTTTAACTTTGGTAGTTTGAACATTATGAAATGAAATATAGTAACAGTAACAGACACTAGACATACTAAAATGTGCCTGTGCATATTTAAGGTTATTATTTTATTTATTTAATTTTTTTGGCCAGTCCTGGCACTTGAACTCAGGGCCTGGGCACTGACCCTGAGCTTCTTTTGTTCAAGGCTAGCACTCTTCCACTCAAGCCACAGTGCCACTTCTGGCTTTTTCTGCTTATATGGTACTGAGGAATCAAACCCAGGGCTTCATGTATGCAGGGCAAGCACACTACCACTAAGCCACATTCCCAGCCCTTTACAGTCATTTATAAAGACTTTCACCTAAAAGTGTTTTGCTTACAAATGCAAAGCTATTAAAACAATAAATATTGCATTCTTGCATGTAAAAAAGGAATTTGAAATTAAACAGATTATTAACTTTAAAGGAATGTATAACTCTTACCTCCGTCCTCAGGTTTCATGTCTAATAGTTCATTTATAGGTCCTTTAGAGAAGAGGAAAAGAAAGGAATTAGGAGTTAGTTTCATTTCCTATGGATTTTGAGTTAAATTATTAAAATTGATTATTTTCCTCAATCTAGATTACCTGAACAAGAATCATATGTAGAGGTTTTGTCTATGGCAGATAAAATATTTTTTCTATCTTCAGCTGTAATATAACATATGTAATTGGTTATCAGTGACTTCGATTGGGGTTCATATTCATATAGGATTGCAGTGTGGGGTAGATACACAGCTTCAGGACAAGAAAGCATCCAAAAATTCACTCATGCAGAAGAAAAATATGGTTGATTCCAGTTAGCTCTCAATGAAGGCAAAATTAGCCCTGAATCTGTGCTTTGTCTGGTAGATATCTCAGAAATTTATGTGATGCAGACCAACAAGTCTTCCATAGACAAATGTGTGGCATAAATAACTGACTACAGTGATATTGATAATAACCTTTAACCTTATGGGCCTGGTTAAAATGGAAACAACTGACTATTTAATGAAAGAAACCAGTTTGAAAGGATGAATATGACATACTGGGAAAGGCAGAAATATGGAAACAGTGAAAAGACCAGGGCCTGGGAGAGGGTGAGAGGAACAGGTGAAGCACGGGGCACCGGAAGGCAGGGGATACATTTCCTATGACGCTATAATGATACAGACACATCATTTTACATTTTAATACACATAAAATATACAACACCAAGAATGAACCCTAGGCTCATGGATTCTAACAAATATACCATATGCTGGTATAGGATGAGACAGAAGAGTTTATCCATATGTGGGCTCAGGAAGTATATGGGAAATCTCTGCCTTGCATTTGATTATGCTGTGAACTAAATCTGCTCTAAAGTAAAAAAAAACTGTGTGTGTATCAACACACATGTGTATTCATACAATAGAACAGCCTTAAAATTTGGTTTGCTCATGCGTTAATTAGACTTCCTATAGGTCACAGAATAAAAGGCAGAGGCCATTTCAGTATACTAGATTCTATCCTGTGTATATATGCATTTAAAACAAGGTGACAATCATATTTACAATCTTAAAATGTGATGCACACACCACACCCAATTATACTGTACAAGGAAAGAGAAAGTGGGCATTTTCTCCTGTATATGCATATGTTGTAAAATACACAGAGATTTGTAACTTGTATACAATTATCAACTAGAGTTTACCTTTTTATCCCACACAGAACTAAATTTATTCTGTCCAGTAACCCTGATTTCCCAAACATTTATGATTCACATGTAGGCTCACTGAGGGACATAGAGGGTAGAGGCTTAGATCTATATAGACAGAGCTCTTCCATGGTCTGTAGTAAGATTAGAGCCAGCCTCTCCACAACTTGTTCTCTTCTTGTGCTCCACAATGTAGCTCTTCTGACTTTTGGTTGATCCTTCCTAGCTCACAAACTATTGCCTAGGCTGCTTCTTTTGCAATGACAATCTTGTAATAAAACTGGGGTTTAGCTTTTGCCCCATCCCTTAAAACAGGTGAGGCTCAGAGCCCTGTACTTTCCCAGGGTAACTCCCTCCAAAGTTGGAGTTGATTATTAGGTTACCATCTGCTTCTCCTTTTGACTGTGAGCACCATCCTGGAAGGATCTGAATATATGTGTGGCACCACTATCTGCCTGGAGCCCAGTGCCGTGCCTGGCAGAGGAAGCCCTCAGTGAACATCTGCTGAACAAATGGACAAGTCCACGAGTATTGAAGGCACACACAAGCAGGAGCAGATGACAGGAAGCCAGGCCCTGAAGGCAAAATAGTGAGTTGCTTCTGTTTTTCCTGTTGTTTTATTCTCTGTTAAAAGGATGATATCAGAAAAGCAAATGGATGAATGGAGTAGGGGAAGTGTCAGGTGGTTTGGAAGACAGGACAGAAGAGGATGGTAGGGAGGGGAGGTCCTAGCACCTGTTTTGTAGCCTGCCATCTTGTGAAAAGGCGGCCTAAGCACAGAGTTACACAGGGCAGGATGGATGTGTTCCCCGCAGAGCCTGGCTTAAGAGGGTTCACAACAATTGAAAAATGCTCCCCTGCAGCTCTGAGGGTCTTGGGGCTGAGGGTGAAAGTTTTGGTACCATGATTCTCATCTACCCTCACCCTTTATGTGACAGTGCAAAAGACAAGAGATAGCATAGCAGGAAGCCCTTCTCCTCAAACTGTGCCATTTTTTAATGCTTTGACCCCCCCTTCTTGGGGTTCACTTGCGAGACCAGGTAACACTAATTACAAGCAGGCTGAGGAGCTACCTGACAGAGCAGAATTGGAGTCTTATTGACCTCTTTAACAATGACCAACACTAATCTACAAATCCCTAAGGTCTACACAGTCTGATGTAACAGCAAAGTTATCTTCCTAAGAATATCTCCACAGCACATGTGGCAGTTAGGACTGGTCAAGGCAATGACAGCAGCCTTATAAGCTGTTGTGGAAAGAAATACCTTTCTTCAGGTCCTACTTATAGCTGCCCCCTGAAAAGCGGCTGCCATTTTTCTGCTTCAAAATATACAGCATCTCTCAGTAATGCTATTGGGTTTATTGTAGGGCTGACATCATTAATGTTTAAACAATTAAATTTGAAACTGTAGGATAAGTTAATACAGTCTTGTCTCAATTGCAAATGAAAGCATTTGTTAAAAAAAAGAAAATGAATGGACTACTGAGAATCAAATTGTATTTCATAAGTTGTATTCACTTCAAAATGAAAAATCACAACTTACTCTTAAAACTGGAGGATTCGTTGATCTGGTTTTCATCTTCTAATGAAATTAATCTTAAAATAAAAGGAAAGGTTAGCCACCACATTCTGCAAATGTTATATTTATACGATGGTTAGTTTTCAGTACAACTATTATTACAGTTACAGCAACATACACAGTGGGCAGGGAGAACTATCAATATAGAATCATTTACACGGTATATATTTTCTAGCACCAAGATCATCTCTACCTGATTTTTCTAAACAAAATTCCTTTCATTTTTTTTACTGTCATTTAAAGTTATCACTAGCTTCTTGCCTTTTGAGATTTTTGTTGCTGATGTTGTTTTTCCAGTACTAGTATTTGAACGCTTCTGCCTATGCCTTTTTTGTTCAAGGTTAGCACTTTACCATTTGAACCACATCTTTACTTCCAGCTTGTTTCGTTAAGCAGAAATCAGAGACTCTTGGATTTGTCTGCTTGGGCTGGCTTAGAACTGGGATTCTCAGATCTCAGCCTCCAGAGGAGCTAGGTTATGATTGTGCCATAACTTGCCTTTTAAGCTTTTAAATATAATTTACTAAAACACTTGAAATCTGAAAATAAATTGAGAAGCTTATGGTTGGTTCCCTTTGAGTAAAGGTGAGTGCTTGATTTTGATTGTATTAACTCATTTGGTAAAGAGAAGATGTTGGTCCTCACTCTGGGCTCAGCCTTTTACCACACATGGATCAGACCCATAACATCCATAAGCCTTTACATACTGGGGAAATGCCTATAATGAACATTCAGGGTGAGCATGAGAATGAGTTGCTTACACAGAACATTTAGCACTGGGCCTAGAAGAACTTAGTAGGTGCTCACTAAAGGATGGCTAGCATTATTATTCTTATCAGGAATAAGTTAAATACATTTCCCTTAAAGAGCCAATCAGGTTGGATCCACATCACATTTTGGAGTTTGTTAGACAATGGGAACTTGTCTTCATTCTGTGCTAGAGAATTTTCTAGTATTTGCTGAGAGAGAGTAGAGAGAGTAGAGAGGTAGAGAGAGAGAGAGAGGGACAGACAGACAGACAGAGACAGAGAGAGACACAGAGACAGAGAGAGAGACAGAGAGAGTGCTAATATTGGTAGCAGATACTTCTATGGAACAAAAACATATCTGAAATTTTATTTAGAAGTATGGTAACAATATAAGTCTATTTCTATCATAAAATGGTCATCTAAATTTTGTGATGTGTAGAGAAGTAATAGTGAAAGGGGCCAAGGTCAGTGGCAATTTTGCTTTCCTAGGCCAGTTCAAACAGCAATCTCATTCCTGTGAGCTATTACATTGCCAGAGAAAAATGACACGCATTCACCAATTCACATTTAACCCTCCTTCTTGTTGGATGGGGTGAGGAACTGTGTGCCATCGGTGTTGCAAAGTTCACAGGGGTGTTTCTAATGACCCAGGCGACTGCTTTGTTTACACAGAGGTAAGGCGTGGAGGGGGGCAGTCACTTCCTGCACTGGGACCTGCTCTCCGATTCTCAGAGGAGAAAACAGTCTGAGCTGTGAAGACAAAAATGTCACAACCCAGCACTTTTGTAGGCTAACAGTTCAGTCTGATGTGTATTACACCAAGGCAATTTCCTAAATTGCCAGCTTCTACAAGAAAAGCCAGGGGATTTCTTGTCAAATACAGCATTTTGTGAGTGGGAGTGACCACAGGACCAGACAGGATTCATAAATCCACAAATCGGGGGCTGAGACACAAGACAGGGAGCCAGGCACTGCGGGGCACCGTGTGCAAACTTTGGAGGCCACCAGCCATGGTTCTCAGGAAGGGGGATGGTCACTCTGGGTGGAGTACTCGAATGGACTTGGCCAGTGAGGATGTGGGAAACAATGCCATGAGCAGAGGCCTGGGACTTACTGACTCGGCTCCTGCACTGATGCTCCTGTGCTTTCCTGCTGGGTAATCTTCTTTTCTTCTTTCTCCACTAGTTTCTTCACAGGGTCTTGTAAGCTCTTGATCATGAGTCAGAAATGATAAAAATAGAAGAAGATAAAGACAAAAAGAAGAAAAGGAAAAAAGGGGATGGGGGGGGGAGAGAAAAGTTACCAATAAAATACTCCGCTGCCACAGGTCCCAGAAATCAAACCTTGAGTCAGACGTCTTGGGAGGTGGCTTTAAACCAAACAAGTGGACAGAAATGCAATTTACTACAGCAAAGCAACAATGTTCTCCGGGCCATCCAAGAAATACTAGCTTATAAAGGAGAGTAGATTTGCCTCTAGATTTATGTTTTCCCTTCTGTGATAAGTTGTGCAAAAGAAGATCTTTTGGCTATTGCTAGCTTTATTTTCCAACTTCAGCATGTAGCTAAGATAAACATTCTGTTCTGCTTGCGGCCCACACACTGACAAGAGGAGAAGCTTCCTCCACCACTAAAGATGAGGCAATTCCATTTTATTTTTAATTTTGTTTGCTGTTTTGCAATTTAAAAACCACTTTCGAAAATAACCGAAAACAAAATCTTTTTTTAAAAAAACCCCAAAATAGTATCTTAACACATTCTGACAACTTAACTCCCACAAATGGACAGAGCAGGTGCATCTAAGTATTTCTAGATTAAAAACAGTCTTTTTTTTTTATTATGGCACATCATTTGTTGAAGTTAAAACTGTTTTCAAGGTTTAGTAAATATTTTAAGACATAATTCTTTGAAAGCAAGTTCCTACAAACTGTATACTACTGACAAAGACCTAGGAAAAAATATTTCTTTCTTTAACAGCTGGACAAGTATAATGAGTTGCAGACACACATACGTGTGTGCAAGCACACACACACACACACACACACAATCTCTATTTCCAGCCCTAATTAAAATACAAATTTATAAATACAAAGGAGACATCTCAAGATACGTATCCTTATTTTATTCTCAGGACTACTAAAAGTGCCGATTTTCATCCTCTGGATGTTCACCTGTCTGCCTCCTTCATGTGTTTCATTTCCTACTTATAACACTGAGAGAATGGCAGATCTCATGGCAAACTAGGATTGATGAGTAAAAGCTGGCTAAGGCCTGAGCGAGTATGCGTTGAAGCTGTGTCCACAGAGAGTAGGGCTGTGGCTGACTTTGGAGTCTGCCATGGACACCAGATGGACAGAGGCCTTACCCTGCTAATTGCCAGCGTGGTTTCAGTCTATACTGTACTAAATTTTCCAAAAACACCCATGCCCTCATGCTACTCTTACTTCAAGAAATTGTAATTGTTCCTTATTTATTTCTACTTTTAATCTACAAACTCCCCTCTGCCTGACCTAAAAGATATTCTGAACTATGATTCTCAATCTGAAATGTCTCTTCAGTCTTCTGGGAGCTTGTTGCTCCCTTCTTTTCTTTATGCAACTTCAAAAGTCCTGTCTTTTTAAAGCACAGATCAACTACCACAATTTTCCACAGAGCTTTATTAAGCATGCCAAATGCAACCAATTCCTTCGAACTCCAAGTAACATTTTACAATCTCATTAATACCCAATCATATTTATCGCATATTGTTTTTCCTTCAAAACTACTTTTTAATTAATAACAGAACCAAATGAAAAATTGTGAAAAATATAAAAGGTAAAAAATATTCGTAATTCTGTTTCCATAGAATGATAAATTGTTTTCATATAGTTCTCTTTCTTAAGAGTTCAGAGTATTGGTAGAAATTGAATTAGTAGATCTACGTATTTTATAGACATTGTATCTCTCTCTCTCTCTCTCTCTCTCTCTTTTTATTTTCTTGGTCCTGGGGCTTGAACTCAGAGCCTGGACTCTGTCTCTAAACCTCTTTGTGCTCAAGGCTAATGCTCTACCACTTGAGTCACAGCACCACTTCTGGCCTTTTCTGAGTAATTTATTGGGGTTAAGTCTCACAGACTATTTGACTTGGGCTGGCTTTGAACTGAGAGCCTCAAATTTCGGCCTCCTGAGTACCAAGGATTACAGGTGTAAGCCACCAGCTTCCAGCTTCTGTATTTCTTCTTAAGCAATAGAATTTGTATAGGTTTTCATAGTCAGATTATTAGACCTGGGGAGTATATAATGATTGCATGTCTTGAGCATTTAGTATTAAATTAAAATGTTGAATTAATTGTTGGCAAATGAATGCACCAATATTCTAAAGTAGGATCAAGATTTTCTCTGAGTACATATCCTTTGATTAGACTTCTGAAACATTTTAGTTAAAACATGTCTATCTATAAGGCATTCCTATCATTTTTAATGACTCCCTATTTTGTTAGTATGTTCACTGAACTAATAGTTTTTGAGCACCAACCAAGACAGACAAAATTATCAGCTCTTGATGGACCTAGATAGATAATTTAAATACAGAGATGGAAAGTGACTGGGTCATTATCTCATTGAACAGGATGTCTTCTCTTGGAAGTGACACTTCAACTGAGAGCTAGCTGATACAGAGTCAGCCTTGTGTAACTCTCAGAGAGGAGAGCACCCTAAATGCAAAGGCCCAAAGGTTGGAACAGTGTGGTTTATTTGAGGAACAAAGAGGGTGCCCTGGCACTGTGGCGTGCTTGGCCGGCGGCTAGGTCTCATGAGATGGGATAAAAGGCCAGCAGGGTCACACAAGCCCCATTGGCTTCATCACACTCTTTTGCTGTCTCTGTCTCTAATGAATAAAAACTAAATGCTATACATGATCCTCAGCTTGTATCCTAGACTGAAAGAGAAAAAAAAAATGCTACCTAGGACAGTATTAGAACAAATGAGACAAGGTATATGGATTACAGATAGTCATGATTTTTTTTAATATATCTTAAAGCATCTGGTAAAAAGTGGAGGAGTGAGAGAGGAAAGGGAGATTTAGAAATGTATAGTCATGAGCAGTTCATCAAATGTCAAGAACATACTCCGTATAATTCATCTGTCAGTCACAGTACAATATTTATACACAAAGACACGAAAGAATTCTTATTCCCCACAGACTGGTCCAACTCTGGGAGTATTTGCGGCTAATGTTCTGTGAATCTCAGGATTCACTTTTAGATTCTGTGACACTAGTCCAGCCAGGCCTCCAGGTTTGCTCAATTATCTTCTCTTGTGTTCCATTTTTAACAGTCAACCCCAGGCAGGGCTAGGACTTGTCTGCTTCAGAGGCTGCATCAAGCCGCCACAGCCCTTGCCTAAAGCCTCAAGATGCTCTTGACAGCTCCATGGTTATCATCCTAGCTGTCTCCAGCCTGACCTCCCCTCCTGACCACACTTGAGCAGCTCTCAGACAATCCCTTTGTAATGTAAACCACTCATTCCTTCTTTTCAAGCCCTTCCCCAGTTGGGCCATTAGCAGGGGCTCAATTGTGGGCTCCCTGTCACCACCATCACAGTTAAGATCCTATTGTGCTTGCCCAACAGAATGGCTGCAGTTCCAATTGCTACTTTAATTTATTATTAATAATTCCTCTGACAATCACTCCTCTTCCTGCACCACCATTATTCCTATAACTACTTGATTTCTGTAGCTCAAGAGGGGTTCAATATTTGCTTGTTGGTTAATAAACTGATGTACGTAGGTTAAACAAACAAACAAAAAAAATCTTTTTGGCTAGGAAATTAAAAGGCTCAAGGGAATCACATGGAGGAGATTTTAAAACCTCAAGCAAAATTAATATGAGCATGTAAGCTTATTTATTAAATATTACAATTCTGAATCAAGGAGAATCTGTGTATGTTCACATACTCACACAGTAGTTTCACTGAGATATAACCTACATCTCATAAAAATCCAAACATTTCTGAAAAGTACAAATCAATAATTTATAGGATATTCACTGAGTTATGCAACCATTACCATGATACATTTTAGGACATTTTAAAGGATCATTTCTTGAAGCAAGAGTTTTTAGATCAAATTAACAAGGCTAAATACTCTTCTAAACAGAAAGGAAAAAAACAACTTCACACATGGAACTTGTTTCTTGCAAAAGATGGTATACACGGTAGACATAAGAAGGCTAAGGAGAAGGCTGGAAGGTCATGGAGGGCAAATCATGTTCCCCATCTTCCTGGCAAACTAGTTCCTGGGTGTGACATTCAGATACAGGACATTCTGTAGAATAGACAGCACTCTACCTCAAAACCTTAAAGGATGGGGGAGGGGGGAAGAGGCGAATACTTCAGATTATTTTGAAGTCCACCAGTCATCTGAAAACCTTTAACCCTACATCATCTTTAAACATCAGAGGTGACAGTATTTTCTGTGTGACATAAACACCTGCTCAGACATGAATAGAAGAGGTCTGGGCCTCTGTACTGAAGCAGCAGCTATCAGTTGGAACCATTTCCAGTCACTGGCTGATGGAAGCCACATTTGAATCCAGACCCAGAAAAGAAAACTCCAAAGCATTTCATTTTGAAACCCCAAGCCCTCTTGGCTCTGTATTAAAATTGCCTGCGAAGATCATGTGTGATAGCAGAAAGCACACAGCATCATCTAAGACGGAAAGGTTCTCTATGGAGTAAAAGAGTGTTTTTAGGCTAAGTAATTTCTCTCTATAAAGGCTGCACAGATATGCTAATAGTTTCCATCAATGCTTAAATGGTTTCAGGAACCAAACACACAATATATATAAGATTGGCCTGACAGAGGAAACTGCAGACCCAGCTTGCAGAAGTGTCTTAGAACGGAAACAGCTTAATATAATAAAGGGAGTTACTACTTCCTGTATTAGGAAAATAAAAGCAACAGCAACATGCATCTGAATGAAAGCAAAACTACTTAGCAAAACACATTTCTCAGACAAAAGGCCAGCAGCCAATGCTAATAACCTAAATTTAATGTCTAACTCAGACAACTAAGTAACATTTCCTCTAATCTTTAATTAGGATATTTAATTTTCTTATGCTACTTTCCATTAATTAGACTGTATGCATACAAGGGTGCCAAATAATTGTTAATAAAAGAAAATAAAAGTGCTTAAAATAGCCAGGCATGGTTCAAAGCTGCTGAACTCAGTT